CTATTCTCTGGGTGGAGGAGTCTGCAACTACTAGACATAGGCTTAAGGTGAGAGGGGAAAAGATTTAACAGGGACCTAAGGGGCAAATTTTTCACACAGAGGGTGGTGCGTGTATGGAACAAGCTGCCAGAGGAAGTGGTGAGGGCTGGTACAATTACAACATTTAAAATGCATCTGGATGGGGAAATGAATAGGAAGAGTTTAGAGGGATATGGGCCAAATGGGCCTAGATTAATTTAGGATGTGCGCTTGGCATGGGCAAGTCAGACCGAAGGGTCTGTTTTCATGCTGTACAGCTCTGTGACTGTACCATAACAAATGGTGGAGTAGGCTCAAAAGGGCCGAATGACTTATATTTTCTCCATTTCTATGTAAAGAGAAATCCTCACACATCCAGCAGTACCTCACGCTGTCAGCTCAGTGCATCATTCCAGAATTCAGGAAAAACCCGGAAATGAGGAGCATGTGAAGTCTGTGCTTTAAAAAAGCAGGCAGCTAAACCCCAGGGTCCTCGGTCAATATTAATCCCTAGTTAATATTACGGAGACCAGATTAATGTGGTCATTATCACGATAGTGTTTGTCCAAACTTGCTGCGCACCAATTATTTCCTGTCTTATAGCAGTAACTGCACTGAAAGTTCTGTAAAGTTAGAAAGCACTTTGAGACAAGAGGCACAGTGTAAACGCAAGTCTTTTGTTCATTTCCTGCCTCGTCGAGTAATTTATAGGGGAAACATTCCCACTTTGCTGCCAGCAACGTCCATTTCTCAGCTGGAAGTCCAAATTGAGAGCTAGGTTACGTCCTTGAATCCCAAAACCGCAGCACGGTGAATTCTCTCCAACACAGATGAATCAAATGAGCAGAGCAGCATTCATCAGGACTCTGCCAGTCAATCCACTCAGCGTCTTCCAGGTTTTCACAAACGTGGCATTAAAATACAGAAGCAACAATTTTTGTTGATGTTGTGCATGCTCCTGTGCCAACCGCGACAGAGTTGTACGAGGTGGTGGTGCCAGGGGTGGGTATGTCCGATTTCTGGCAGGCACTGTTGGCCAAAGAAGTACCTTAAGAGGCAGATCGTGACACAGACTGAGTTGGGCACACTTGAGTCCACGCATCGCCTAGGCAAAGTGCCCTCCATTGTGCCAAGCTGTGTAAACCCCACTGCATTTAGCCTGCGATCCCACAATCATGTTTGATCTCCAATCCTTCTCTTCAAGCAATTTTTTTTTTTCTACTCATTCACAGGATGTGGGCATCGCTGGCTAGGCCAGCATTTACAGCCAATCCAGAAACACCCAGAGGACACAGCAAGTAAAACACGTTTTAGAGGGGGGAAAAAAAACCCAAAAGAGCTGCAGATGCTGTAAATCAGGAACAAAAACAGAAGTTGTTGGGAAAGCTCAGCAGGTCTGGCAGCATCAGTGAAGAAAAAAAATCAGAGTTAATGTTTCGGGTCCGGTGACCCTTCCTCAGAACCCCCTTAATTCTGAGGAAGGGTCACCGCACCCAAAACGTTAACTCTGATTTTTTGTCTTCACAGATGCCGCCAGACTGCCGAGCTTTCCCAACAACTTCTGTTTTTGTTCAAGTTTTAGAGAAAACTGTATTCCACAATCAGAATGAGAGAACTCAGCTTTTATAAAGATTCTGCAATCAGAGCTCTATGTTTGAACGACTTCGCCATCATTATGCATTAGACAGAAAGAGCAGGGGTTGTAAACTCGGCTTTGGGACATCGAAACAGGAAGAGACCCTTCTGCCTCTTGTACCTGTTCTACCCATCCATTAGATTATGGCTGATGTGCATCATAATTCCAACTGCCTGTCTTGCTCTCCATTTGCCTTGCCCAGCAGAAACAAACCAATCTCAGTTTGGAGTGTTTCAGTTAATCCGGACTCAAACCTTTTTCTTTTGGATCCCAGGTTTCTAAAAGGGGTCATTGCTGAGAAAGTGCGTGAGCTTGACCTTCCAAAGTTTTCTAGATTCTGGAATGTTGCCAGCTAATTGGACATTAGCAAACTGTATTGAAGTAAGAGGGGGGAAGAAAACACAGAATTACAGGCCAATTAGCCTGACCTCAGTCATCAGGAAAATACTAGAATCCATTACTAAGGAAGTCTTCATAAAGCACTTAGATAATCAGGGAAAGTCATCATGGTTTCAGAAAGAGAAATCATGTTTGACACATTTATTAGAGTTTTATGAGAATGTAACTTACAGGGTGGACCAAGGGGAACCAGAAGATAGAGTCATACAGCATGGAAACAGACCCTTCGGTCCAACCAATCCACGCTGACTATAATCCCAAACTAAACTAATCCCACCTGCCTGCGCTTGGCCCATATGCCTCCAAATATTTCTTATTCATGAACTTATTCAAATGTCTTTTAAATGTTGGAACTGTACCTGCATCCACCACTTTCTCTGGAAGTTCATTCCACACACAAACCACTCTCTGTGTAAAAAAATTGCCCCTCATGTCCTTTTTAAAATTTTCTCCTCTCACCTTAAAAATATGCCACCCTAGAGAAAAGACACCTGCCATTCACCTTATCTATGCCACTCATGATTTTATAAACCTCTATAAGGTCAGTCCTCAACCTCCAATGCTCCAGAGAAAAAAGTCCCAAACATTCCAGCCTATTTTTATATCTCAAACCCTCCATTCTCAGCAACATCCTGGTAAATCTTTTCTGAACCCTCTCCAGCTCAATAATATCCTTCCTAAGACAGGGCAACCAGAAGTGAACACCAACGTCCTGTACCCAAAGGCCTGAGCAATGAAGGCAAGCGTGCTAAACACCTTCTTAACCACCCTGTCTACATGTGATGCAAACTTCAAAGAATTATGTACCTGAACCCTGAGGTTTCTCTGTTTTACAACACTACCCAGGGCATTTGATAAGGTGGCATACAAAAAGTTACAGAGCAAGGTAAGGGCTCATCAAGTTGGGTTAGTATTTTCTGTACAGATAGGGAATTGGTTAACGGACAGGAAACAGAGAGCAGATGTATACAGGCCATTTCCAGACTGTGACTAATGGAGTGCCACAAGAATCAATCTGTCGCCATCAGCTCTTTACAATCTATAGTCATGAGGTAAAGGAACAGACAGATAGCAATGTATTTTTTCCCTGTTTATCCCTATCGAAGCTGAGTGGAGAAGGGTAAGCTGTGGGGAGGATACAGAGGCTGCAAAGTGAGAGTGACCAGTTAAGTGCATGTGCAACAAGTTGCCGATGGACTATACTGTGTGGAAATGTGGGGCCAATCGCTTTGGGCCTTAATAATAACAAAACAGAACTTTTGTAAATTCCATGAAACTTAAGTGTTATAAATAACTTATAAATGTTCAGACATACCTGGAAATCAGAAAGTCAACATGCAGGTACAGTAAGCAATTAGAAATGAAAATTACATGTTGGTCTTTATTGCAAAGGGATCGAAGTACAATGAAGAGGTCAGACTATGACTGTCCAAGGAATTAATGTTCATGCAATGTGTCTGGTCTTGATCTGCATTTTGAAGGAAGGACATACTTGCATTGATGACTGGACAGTGAAGGTTCACTAGATTGGCTCCAGGGATGAGAGTTCTCCGATGAGGGGTCGAGCAAACTGCGTCTATATTCTCTGGAGTTTAAGAAGAATGAGAGGGGATCCCATTGAGATATACTAGATTCCGAAGGGGCTGATAGGGTAGACACTGGGAGATTGATTCCCTTTAGCCTGGGAATTTACAACACAAGGGCACAGTCTCAGAAGAAAGGAGTGTTCATTTACGATGGAGATGAGGAGGGATTTCTGTGGAGGTCCCATTACTGAATACATTTAAAGCCAGGGTCAACAGGGTTTCTGGTCTTTCAGGAATCCAAGGGAAATGGGGACAAGGTGAGAAAGTGAGGTTCACAGCCTAAGACCGTATACAATGGTGAAGCAAGCTTGAGGGGCTGACCAATCTCCTCCTGCTCCAAACTCCTATGGCCTTGTGGTTTCAATGGAGAGTTGGGGGTCTAGGGGGTTGGTTCTCAATTGAGGAGTTAGATACAAGGAGGATGGGCTTCAATGGATGGATGTACCACGGGTGCTGGGTTTCAATAGAAGTGATAGGGTGCTGGAAGGAGAAGCCTCAAGGGTCACATGTGACTCCCTCCCATTTCTTATTGTTCTTATGAGGTTTAACAATTTGAATCATTCCCAACTTTCAGGCAGTGTTGGTCTTGTGCACTTGCCACTGAGGTCCAACACACACAATGGGGCCAACCTCACTGTGCTATTCTCATGATGTGAACCACAAATCACAATCCTTTACCAGATATTTCCAAAGTTACTGAAAGGCAATTCTCTAACCCCTGCGTTGAATCCGAGGCTATGTTTTGTGGAGCCATGGGCACTTAGGAGGGAGACTATGCCAGATGTTTAAAAAAAATGTACTCTGGTTCTCACTGGGATGTGCGCTACATTGGAGCCCAGGGTAATATCTCTTTGATGGCTTTATTGTCCCAAAGTCCTTGAAAAGTGGGAAAGTGTGCCTTATTTTACTGAGAAATCAGTCACTTGGTGGCATGTGGATGTATAGGTCGCTCACAATTGGCATCCAGTGAAATTTATTAATTGTTTCTTACTATGTACCGGACAAGAGAATCTAGCTCAGCAAAAGGTAGTGCGACTACAAATCTACTTGTTTCTACTGAAATTATTCACCGAGCCCATGGCGCTCTTCAAAAGGTTCCTCGTGTCCTGGTCAAAATTGGTCAACAATGCTATACTGCTGACCTGCTTGTTTATTGCATTGCTCTGTACGGGATCTTTCTGTGCACAAATAATTCGGCCTCACGTAAGCAGCGGGGACCGCACCTCATTCTTCCCCCCGCCCCCACCCCCTCTCCACCGAAAGGCACCACTGAAATGCCAGCCCTCCCTTTGAGAAGTGGAACGATTAATGCCACCTCTGCGTTGCCCTGTCCTTGCCCCCGGGTCCTGTATTGGACGTACCTCGCAACTTGACATTGACGCTTTGCCGAACCCACGAGTATGTCCCGTAGCTCGAGTAGTCTTCGGGGATCGGTGTCTCCTTTATCCACTGCCCACAGGCAAACTCAAAGAAGTTCTCACACGGATCTGCTGACCAGTTGATTTTCTTGAGGATGTGAACAGCTGTAAAGAGGAAACAACGGCGCGTCAAACATCGTTTTACAGCGACCTGAGTAAAACAGCCATCAGTCTAAAACAGTGCTGTAACTTCCACTTCTGAAGAAACATTAACTCTGTTTCTCTCTCTCTCTCTCTCCCTGACCTTTCCCAGAGCTTTTTTTTTAATGACTACAGTCTTCTGTACATTGACTACAGAAGCCACAATGTGAGATGACTATTGTTTGACCATCGAATGTCAGGCAAAAATCTCTATAGCTCCCCTCATGGAGTAAATCCTTCCACACTGAGGCTCACATTACCTACCACCACCTAGTGATCTCCTCACTATTCTCAGCTTTTGCCCTTAAACTCCATCTGCCCTGAATGTTTATTCATTCCATTCGTTGACAAGTTTAGTTTGGCCCATCACTGACCCATTTCCATCTTCCCATATTAACAAGTTTATAATTCTATTAACTCCTCTCCCCCACCAGCTTCCTGGTGGCAAATCTTCAGCATTGGCCACGTTCTGCATCCCCCAACCCCGAGGAGAGGCAGGGCTGCTGCTAGTTGTAAAATTCCTTCCGAAGTGTGTAATGAATTTCTCTATGTGTATACATACTACTGAGCTGAACAAACCAGTAATCTATGGATCAGACAATTCCTATCTCGGGATTGTTTTCCTTAGAGCAGAGAAGGCTGAGGGGGATCTGATTGAGCTGTACGAAGTTCTAAGCTGCATATACAGGGTCGATATGGAGAAACATTTCCCCTTAATAGAGGGGTCAATAACCAGGGGCACAGGTTTAAAGGTAAGGAGTAGGAAGTAGGAAATGTAGAGGAGATTTTGAGGCAAATGTTTTAATCACCCAGAAGGTGGTGGGTATCTGGAAGTCACATAAGACATTTATGAATATAGAGATGGGCACTTGAAACACCATAGCATACAGGGCTACAGGCCAACTGCTGGAAAATGGGATTCAAGCAGATATACGCTTGATGACCAGCATGGACCCAATGGGCCAAAGGGCCACTTTCCATGCTGTAAAACTCTATGACTCGAGGTGGCAGCATTCAATTCTGCCCAGCAACAGGGGAGGGGCTTATTGCAAAGTTTTCAATGGACCATTTCGGACAGTTCCAAGGTCACTGAAGAGGAGTTTGAAGCTAACAGGCAGTGAATGAGGATGAGACACAGAGTTGGCAGTACAGCAGTTAGCTGTGCTGCTGGGAAGACAATAGACAGGGGACCGAGTCAAGAGAATTTATATTGCTCTGTGCTGTCAGAACTCAGGAAGAAGTTGTAGGAATTGTTTGGCATCTAAGTGTTGGAGTCAGGGCTCAGTAGTAGTTCTGGGGAGCTGGGAAAGTTGCTGGATATGTGTTGGGTGGAGCTATGAGGGGTTTGGAAGAAACGTGTGAGCATTAATACTTCATACTGCTCACAAAGGGGGTTGAAAAGTATTTGCTTGATGTAACTGAGCAGGATTGGAGCTCAGGGAAATAAAAACCCAGTAGGCTGTTTTAGCTTGGCGAAGCTAGCAGTCAGTGAACAGCTGGAGTTATGCTTGTGAATGAGTACTCGAGTGTGGTTTCAGACTTTAGGAGTGTGTAGACCCAGGAAAGGAGGATGATCAACCAGAAGGGGAGCAAGTGCTGATGCAGTCTGAGACATGACTGAGTTGCTCTTGATAGGGAGTTTCAAGGCCAGAGGAGGCAGTGGAGCGTCATCGATATGGGGTGCTTAAATAAGTCTGGATCCCATAGTGTTTTCTCTGCTATTGATGAGTTAGGAAACTGTAAGGTCATGCAGCGTTGCTTCCTTAATAATCAGAGGCCTTGATTCAGAAGGACGTGGAAGGTGTGTGAAATTGCTGATTGATTGTATTACGATTTCCTAAAGATCCTGTTTAATAGTGAATAGCAGCATTTTCCAATGAGACATCTTAGACTAACTGGCATTTTGTTCCTTGCTTTCAGTCTCCCTCCTATCATGAAGAGAGATGTTACAGTGCAAGTTTATCAATTCACTGGGATCTTTCCAGAACCAAGGGACATCACAAATGATACAAGCAATGCCTCCCTTATTGCTGCAGCCACTTGCTCTTAGGCACTCAGTCTGTAGTTCCATTCACTTCCCTGGTACTTTTTCTCTAGTGACACCTTGTTATAGTCATAGAGTCACAGGGTTGTACAGCACAGAAACAGACCCTTCAATCCAACTTGTACATGCTGATCAGCTATCAGCTAAACTGATCTAGTCCCATTTGCCTGCATTTGGCCCATATCCCTCTAAACCCTTCCTATTCATGTACCCATCCAGATGCCTTTTAAATGCTGTAATTGTACCAGCCTCCACCACTCCCTCTGGCAGCTCATTCCATACACACACCACCCGCTGTGTGAAAAGATCACCCCTTAGGTCCCTTTTCAATCTTTACCCTCTCACCTTAAACCTATACCCTCTAGTTTTGGACTCCCCCACCCCAGGGGAAAGACCTTGTCTCTTTACTCTATCCATGCCCCTCTTGATTTTATAAACTTCTATAAGGTCACCCCTCAGCCTCTGATGCTCCAGGGAAAATAGCCCCAGCCTATTCAGCCTCTCCCTAAAGCTCAAACCCTCCAAATCCTGCAACATCCTTGTAAATCCTTTCTGCACACTTTCAAGTTTAACAACATCCTTCCTACAGCAGGGAGACCAGAACTGAACGCAAGATTTCAAAAGCGGCCTCACCAATATGTCCTGTACAGCTGCAATGTGACAATCCAACTCTTATACTCAATGCACTGACCAACATGCACTTAAGACAGAGATGAGGAGGAATTACTCTTCAGAGTGTACTGTGTGGAATTCTTTACCATCAAGGCTGTTGAGGCAGGGTCACGAAGTATATTCAAGGCTGAGATACATAAGCCTTCCAACCAGAAAGGTAATCATGGAATCTGGAGAAAACTTAGGAAGATGGAGTTTAGGAGTGTCAGATCATGCTTGACCAGTCGGTAGGACCAACTCTCCCAATTCTCAGCTGTTAGTGAGGAAGACTTTGCAGGGTTATCTAGATCCACTCCAGCAATAGCAGCTGGACAATCTGGCTTCTTCTCCTTCAGACATTTCAATAACAGTCCGGTATAACCAAGTGAACGGTCAATCAAGAGTCAACATTTTTGGATGGCAGCTTTCCCTCCCTAAAGAACATTTGCAAACCAGATTAGGCTAAGGGCTTGTTGTTAAACATAGTCTGGGGCTGTTCCTTTTTAATTCCAGACAGACTGAATTTAAATTCCCCTTTCCCTGCTCTGGTAAGATTTGAACTCATATCTCCAGACTGTTATTACAGCCTCTGAATTACTAACCAAAAACAGAACTACTGTGCACCATGAGCAGTGGGTCTATTGCAACTTGACAGAGGGTTTGGGGACATCTAACATTTATGTTGTGAGATTGTTGAAACTAAGAAGCGTTTTCATAATTTAAACAGAACAGATCCTCCATTCAGTGAGTTGTTGAAGAGGGGTCTTCATGCCAACATTCTGACTGAAAGAATCAGCGCTTGATAAATATTTCTTTACACAACGGCTGTAGACACATGGAATATAGTGTCACACAAGCTGGCTGAAGCCATTGTTTACAGGCACATAAGATAGATATTTGATCCAGGGGAATATAGAGGGCTAGGATTAGTTTGGGATTGATACAGGGCTATGGGAAGAGTGTGGGACGGTGGGATTAGTTTGGGATTGATACCAGCCTATGGGGTGAGCATGGGACAGTGAAATTAGTCTGCGGATTGAATAGGACTATAGCGAGAATGTGGCTTTGGGAGTATTTTGGGATTGGTACAGGACTGTGGGAAAAAGTGAGGCAGTGAGATTAGTTTGTGATTGATACAGGGCTATGGGGAGAGAGAGGAGCAGTGAAATTAGTTTGGGGGCTGATGCAGGGCTATGGAGAGAGAGTGGAGCTTTGGGATTAGTTGGGGAATTGATTCGGGTGTACTGGGAGCAGTGGGATGAGTTGGGGTTTAGTACAGGACTATGAGGGGAGAGAGAAGGGCAGTGCAATCAGTTTGGGGATTAATATAGGGCTAATGGGAAGACAGTGAGGATTAACAATAAATAGTGGTCTTGCAAGTGACACCCAGGTCATGAGGTGATACGAATCAGGAGCAGGAATGGGCCATTCAGCCCCTCAAGCCTGTTCTGTCATCTGATTAAATCATGGCCGATCTGATTGTGGTCTCAACTCCACTTACCCATCTACTCCTGATAGCCATCGGCTCTGTTGTTTGTCAAGAATCTGTGCCTTAAGAGATTTGATAATTCAACCTCCACCAACCTCACAGGCTCTCAACCCTCTGAGGAAGCAAAGGTACTGACCACAAACTGGAACAAGGTAACTCGCTGAAGAAGATGGAGTGTTTAGCTTACCGGCCTCGGTACACTCAGAGCTGAGGCAGTGTTCCTCAAACTGCAGCTTGATCACTCGACTCCCAACTGGAAAGAAACAAAACAGCTTTCAGTTCGCAGGGTGAAGGAAAATTATCAGCAGTGCTGCAACTCTGTAGCCAGCCTGGACACTGCCGACCATCCATAACCTGCCCCAGCTCAACAAGCTCTGAGTGCGTTCAAAATTACAAAAAAAAAACAACCAGTGACTGAAATTCCCGGGAGTGCTCAGGATAAGGCTGTCCTTGGTTTTAATGAAGAACAAGTGAGCCCTATTGAGTGCAGTGCTGATGGAGAGCTGTACTGTCAGAGGCATTGTCTATCTGCTAGACTAAGGGCCCATGGACATCTAAAGGTCCTGTATCACTACTGGGAGGACAGCAAGAGAACTGTCCCTAGTGACTTAGACCCCTCAACCAAAACTTATTGGTCTGGTCGTTATTACATTGCAGTTTGTGGGAGCTGACTATGCACAAACTGGCTACCACGTTTTTACAAAATCCTTACAGTGTGGAAGGAGCGAGTCCACACTGACCCTCTGAAGAGCATCCCACCCAGACCCTGCCACCCCCACCCTATCCCTGTGACCCTGCATTCACCACCTAAGTGTGCACATCCCTGGACACTATGGACAATTTAGCATGGCCAATCCACCTGCGCATCTTTGGTGGAAACCAGAGCCCCCGGAGGAAATCCACGCAGACACAGGGAGAATGTGCATAGTCCACACAGACAGTCACCCGAGGGTGGAATCCAACCCGGGTCCCTGGCGCTGAGGCAGCAGTGCTAACCACTGAGCCACCATGCCACCCAAAGTTTTGCACATCGTCAAAGTGATCACACAGCGAAAAGGTGCGGCCACTGGGGCTGAGGAGGGGGGTGGTGAGGAAAGAGGGGGACAGAAGGATATTCGCGCCTTTTGAGCTTTTCTTTCATGAGATGTTGGCGTCGATAGCAAGACACCCACTCGCAATCGGGATGGCTTGCCAGAGTCATTTCAAAATCAACCACATGGCTGTGGGTCTGGAGTCACATGTAGGCCAGGCCAGGTAAGAAGGGTCAATTTCCTTCCCTACAGATGGGTTCAACAACATTCGATGTTAGTCTTAGAGTCACCATCAAGGAGAGGAATTTTCAATACCAGACTTTGTTTTTTCATTGAATTTAAGTTCCACGAGCTGCCAAGCTGGGATTTCGACCAGTTTCTCCCAAGAATTACACTGGACTCCCAATACCACTGGCCCACATCCCCACTGAAGTCAATATTCCCATCGCCCACACAGAAAGGCTGTGCTGAAACACCGACACCCGCATCCGTACTGTAGTTTACCATAGTTGGTAAATCACAAATACTCAGCAGAGCAGGCCGTGTCTGGGGAGACGGATCGTTATCCTTCCAGGACAATGCCCACAAATCCATCCCTTCCTCAGCCTTGCCGCTGCCAATAGCCTCATCTTTGCTATGGGGGCCCGAGGCTGGACTGTTCCAGAGTTTTTCCGTTCAGCTGCCTGTCTTCCATTCATAGTCTGCAATCCACATCAGAACCCCATCGCCCACTGTCCCTCTGCTCACTCCCTTTCCAGCAACTAAAAATTCTCATTCCAGCCCTCCAGGACCTGAGTAATCCCTGCTCGGAATCCAATTCCGGCCTCTCGAGCCTTCCCTGTTTTCTGTCCTTCCTCCTTTTGGCTGCCTGGACATTAAACTCTGGAATTCCCTCCATGAACATCTCCAAACCTCTCTGTCCTCCTCGAGAATACTCCTTAGTGACAGATCATGTGCCTTAAAATCTCCGAATCCAATTTTTTTTTTATTCATTAACGGGACGAGGGCATCGCTGGCCAGGCAGCATTTATTGCCCATCCCTAATTGCCCAGAGGCCAGTTCAGAGTCAACCACATTGCTGTGGGTCTGGAGTCACATATAGGCCCGACCAGGTAAGGATGGCAGTTTCCTTCCCTGAAGGACATTAGTGAGCCAGATGGGTTTTTCCGACAATCAACAATGGATTCACAGTCATCATTAGATTCTTAATTCCAGATATTTATCAAATTCAAATTCCACCATCTACCATGGCGGGATTCAAACCCAGGTCCCCAGAACATTAGCTAGGTCTCTGGAGTAACAGTCCCGCGATAATACCATTCGGCCATTGCCTCCCCCAGTTAATTGCAAACCATAAGAAATAGGAGCAGAATTAGACCATTCGGTCCATCCAGTCTGCTCCACCATTCGAAGAGATCACGTTTGATCTGATAATCCTTGACTCTGTTTACCTGCCTCCCCCCTCCCCCTGCCCTGTAACCCTTGATTCGATTTCTGATTAAAAATCTACCTCAACCTTGAATATACTTAATATATACATAATGTCCCAGCCTTGACAGCCCTGTACAGTAAAGAATTCCACAAATCCACTGCCCTCTGAGAGAAGAAATTCCTCCCCCACCCCCGCTCCTTATGTGCTGCCCCTTATTCTGAGCCTATGCCCTCTGGTCCTAGACCTTCCCACAAGGACAAGCAATCACTCCACTTCTACCCTGTCAAGTCTTCCAAGAATCTTGTGCGTTTCAATATGGTCACCTCTCATTTAGTACAGGGCCAACCTACTCAACCTCCCTTCATAAAGCAATCTCTCCATACCCAGTAGTGGATCTTCTCTTCACTGCCTCCGATGCCAGTGTCTATTTCCTTAGATAAGGGGTCCAAAACTGTTCACAGTATGATTTCAGAAAGATCTCCCTGGGCTCCATTCCTTTGAAATAAAGGCCATTACTCCATTTGAATCAGAGATAGTAGGAACTGCAGATGCTGGAGAATCCGAGACAACAAGGTGCAGGGCTGGATGAACACAGCAGGCCAAGCAGCATCATAGGAGCTGCTCCAAATGGCACACAGCAAGCAGGAACAGGCTAGTGACTAGAGGATGAGTTTCAACGATATTGATGGAGAGATTTCTCCCCAGGGAACCGAGAGAAACTAACTCCCAACTACAGATCCCTCTTGTACACCCATGGGGCCTTGGTTCAATATTTCATTGGAAAGCTGGCATCCCCCACAGTGTGGCACTCCCGCGGTACATCACTGGATCGACAGCCTGGTATTCCCAAGTCCTGAAGTGGGGAACTCAGATTCCCAACTCTGCTGGGATATATTCCTGGAGGTTTCATCACATGGTACCTCGCCCTGAACCTGGTTAATGGTCTTATCACCCCCACCCCCAGTCATGTGATCTTTAATTCGCCCTGCTGTAGGAAGGGTGTTGTTAAGCTAGAAAGAGGACTGAAAGAAATTTATCAGGATGTTGCTGGGACGGAGGCTTTATATTATAAAGAGAGGCTGGGGCTGATTTCTCTGGCTGAGGAGTGGGCTTATAAAATCACAAGGGGCATAGATGAAGTGAAAAGCCAAGGTCTTTACACCTGGATAGGGGAGTCCAAAACTAGAGGGCATAGGTTTAAGGTGAGAGGGGAGAGATTTCGAAGGGAGCTAAGGGGCCAGGTTTTAATGCACAGAGTGGCATGTGTACATGTGGAACGAGCTGCCAGAGGAAGTGGTGGAGGCAGGTACAAATTACAACATTTAAAAGGTATTTGGACAGGTACATGGATAGGAAAGATATAGGCCAAACACAGGCAAATAGGACTAGTTCAGTTTAGGAAACCTGGTCAGTGAATTGGGCCAAAAGGTATGTTTCTGTGCTGTATAACTCTATGAACTTAAGACAACTTATGAACTTATTAAAAGAAAATGAACCAAAGTATAAACTTTGTTTGGATAGTTGGCCTGTTACCCCGAAAAGAGTGTGCCAAAATGATCAATCTTCAAATCCTGGCAGGACTGCGGAGTCCTGGAATGTTGGTAAGTTCCCCTCTCATCCAGGATCGAAAGGGAATGGGCAAAGGCGATGGGCTGAATCAGAGAATCCTGACAATGTGGAGCGAGGCCACACATAACGCTTGGAAAACATTTCCTTTTTAAGCACATAATCCAGGAGGGAAACTCCGTCATCACAGCCGACTTCAAAGAGTAGCCGAGGAAATACCACAAATGATGCCAGACAACTATTGTAATGACATCCAGCGGCCAGAGTTTGAGATGCCAGATGCATTAGTCTCAGAGGAAGGAGCGAGCTTGGAAACCAGTTCAAGGTGATTGATAGCGGCTCTCGCTTCACTGGGGACTTCTAACACTCTCAAAGAAAATCAACTGTTTAAAGAGGCTTGTATTTACACAGTGCCCTTTCTCACTTCACAGCCAAAAGGAGCTGTTTCAAAGTGCAATCACTGCTCCAATGAGGGAAACAAGCCTGTGCACAGCAAGCTCCAACAACCTGCAGTGAGATGACGGCCAGACAATCTGTTTTTATAGCACTGATCGGGAATAAACAATGGCTGAAATGCTGGTGGGTGGGGGGAAGAATACCCCCTGTTCTTCCTTCAAATAATCATCTACATCAAAATCCCACGTGCCATCTGCCTGGTGGGAATAGAGTTTAAGTGGAACAAGGGAGTTCCAAAGGGAGTGAAGTATAAAGAAAAGTGATGCCTCGCTAAGACTATACAAGACACTAGCTAAATACTACGAACAGTTTTGGAACGCTTATCCAAGAAATGCATCGAAGAGAAGGTTCACTGGGTTGATCCTGGGTACGGAAGGGCTGCGTTATAAGGAGAAATTGAGTAGACTGAGTCTGTACTCATTGGAATTTATAAGAGTGCAAGGCAAACTTATTGAAACAAAAAAGATTCTTAGGGGATTTGATGGGATAGATGTGAAGAGGTTGTTTTCTCTTATGGGAGACTTTAAGACCGGAGTGCATCATCTCAGAATAAGGAGCCGCACATTGAAGACACAGGAAGAATTTCTTCTCTCAAAGGGTAGTGAATCTATGGAATTCTTTACCACCGAGGGCTGTCAAGGCTGGGTCATTAAGTCTCTTCATGGCTGAGAGACAGATTTTTAATTAACAAAGGAATGAAGGGTTATGGGGAATAGGCAGGAAAATGGAGTTGATTGGCAGATCAAATGGGCTGAATGGCCTATTTCTGTTCCTACATCTTATAGTCTTATGATGAGAGTGCAGAAAGTAAGAACACAAGGCAAATGATTTGATAGTAAATGTGAGGAGGCACACAGATTTGACCACCGTCAACTCCTACTGAGAGAAGGGCCCAATCATTCTTACCATACAGACCCTGGGCTAAATCTTGCCGGTGCAGTTACAAACCATTCTACACTGTAGTAAATAAAAAGTTTCAGCAGCTAAAATCCACCGGCATGCTTTGTGAGTACCCTGAAGGTGCTGCTCAATTTACAACACTTCTCCATTTCCTTTATGCATGCAACATCTCATCCTTAATTGCCCATTATTTTTGTGATTTCCTCAATTTGCACATGAATTGCCCCAAAACAGAAGGCTAGCACTCCGAAACACTGTAGGCAAGGACTCTCAGAGCATTCAATCAGTCAGAGTTCCTCCAAATTCACAAATCATTTCAACTACAATACCCTGCTGTTTGTTACTGAAAGCCAAAATCTTGGTATTAGCAGATGAATTAGAGTGATCGGGACAGTAGAGACTGCCTTTACTGCAGTGTCTTTGTTCAATAGTAGCATGTACATCTTAGAGTCAGAAGGGAAACTAGCCAAAGTGCAGGCAAACGTGTTCTCTAGAAAGCCCATGATGTGCACAGGAAAAGTCAACAAACAGCAAAGATGTAATTGATTGGACAATCTCATTTTTAGTGCTGTTGGTCAAAGAATAAATACTGGCCTCAGCACACCCTTCTTAAAAATAGCAGTATGGGAACTTTAAAATCTCTGAGAGTCAGACTGTGCTTCACTTTAGTAAATGACCTGAAAGACAGCATCTCCAACAGTGCAGCACTCCCTCAGTCCTGACCCTCTGACTGCGCGGCACTCTCTCAGTACTGACCCTCCGACATTGCGGCACTCTCTCGGTACTGACCCTCCAACAGTGCGGCGCTCCCTCAGCA